CATAATTTGGATGTATGGAAGGTATAACATGATCTTCTTCTGTGTGGTTGCTATTTTGTTATGCTTTAGACCTGTTAACTGGACTGCAGCAAGAGATCGATGCTATTGGATTATTGGTTGCTGAGGTTTGCAACACAAAAACAAATATGATCCATCAAACATTCCTTTTAAAAGTCAATACATGGCACCAGAGATCTAGAAATGGCTAGAATATTTTCTAATGAGTAATTTTATACACATGCTCACATTTTATATGATTATAGAACCATGACTTGGGCCTTCCTTCTCTTATTATTTGCTTGTTTTCTCCCATGATGGCAAAAATCAGATGCTTTCTGACCATTCTTATTCATCTAATAACCAAAATAAAACAAGTACTCCATGGCTAAGTAGACTTGACCCATTGGCTTAAAATTATTCTTTCATAATTTTATGCATGCATATGATGTATTTCAATCAGATCCAAATTTTCCTCCACTACCAAACTCTTCAGACACTGCCCCTGACTTCACAACTTTATCTTTAAAAAAAAAAAACCCAGAGTCCAATTAGTGTTATCCATGTGCACATGGGAGTAGGACAGCATCCACTGGAGTGTAGGTCATCTACAACAGTCACACTGATGAAGAAAATTATTCTTCCTGCCCTGTAGCCATCAACTGTCAGTATTTCCTCAGCTAGTGAGCCCCATCCCTTTTCATGATTACTGTTAACTAGCTTCAGCTTGTGAAGGTCTTAGGCTAACACTACACCTGCCACAAAGTTTAGGAGTGCAGAGACCCTGTCGAGCCCAGAAGACATTATTTTGCATCCTTCTCCCCCAGCCTGTGCCTTTAAAGTCTTTCTGCTTTCTCTCCTATGAGGTTCCCTGAGTCTAGGTGTGGAGGGGTCGTGATAACAGATGTCCCCTTTAGGACTGAGCACTCCACTTTAACTGTCTGTGTGTCTCTGTATTAACCACTGTTGCTGTACAAAAAAGCTTCTCTGATGATGGATATGACTTGCACTAGTCTGATTATATGGGGCATGGTTTTGGTCATTTTTCTACTGGTAAAACATTGACTTAATAACAATTTCATTGTTGTTACGTAGATCTCAGTCACTGGTGTTCCTAGTTAAGGCCATTATCTATCCCATCTAACTCTGTTACTGGAATTTTTGTCCTGTTTCCTAATCTCATGACCACTGTGTTTAATGGTATGCATCACTATCTGAAACACTAAAATGAAAGCTTTACGTACATGTGGTAAGGATCAAGTTGGAACACACTGGCTTGGCTATATAGTTTAGATTTTTGCTTTCAGAAGTAGCCAGCATTGCTTTTAGCAACCTATTCCCTGCCATTATTTTTCAGCAAGCTTCAGTTTTTCACAAAGATATAACTTGGATTTTACACATCGAGAAGGGTACAGCTTGAGTGGGTGACTTGGGATGAATCAAAACAAGGGATTAAACTAGGAATAAGGTACCTGTTGGCTGTAACACAGAGCAAATGTGCCTTCCATGAAAAGATGAGGCATTGTAGTTGTTTAATCTACAGCTTGAGCCCATGTTAAAAATTGTTTTTTCTGCTCTCAAGCAAACTCTAGAACCATCACCTCCCTCCCCTATCAATATTTTGGTCTCAGCAAGGAGAAATCCCTTGTTCCACACATCCTTCTGAACTAAACTGAACTGGAAAGGCCAGCCAGCAGGCCCCTCTCCAACAAGAGAGTGACTCCACAGTCAGGCAGAGATTTTAGAATTTTGCAATTTGGATCATTGTGGTGGTTCAAGCATTCTTAAGTGAAGCCAGGTTAGAATTGATGGTTCTTCATCTTAGACTTTAATTATGGGCCTCAGGGTGAATAGTTATATACACATCCATGTTTGTGTGTATTTATATGTTTGTCTGTATAAGGCTCTATTTTTGTGTGTTACATAATAATTTGATCAACCTAAAACACTAGGCTGAAAAAATGCTGGCAAAAAGTCAAAAGGGCTGCATATTCAAAAGAGAGAAATAAACAAGTGTTTAATCAGGCCAGACACAAAAGTTGCTTATATTGAAGACTGTCTTAAAGAGTGTAATAAGCAAATATTTTGGATTTTAAATGATCTGAAAGTAATTGCTCAAACATTGTTTCTGGTTGTAGATGTAAAACCCAAGCACAGTCAAGAGGAGGAAAATTACTTTCTGTAACATTAAACACAAATGCAGTTGAAATGAGCTATGTTTATCCTACTTACTAAAAGAGAAGTTGGAATTTCTTCTGCTTGGAGAAATAGATCTGGGCCTCATTTCTAAGACAGCACAAGATCTCTTTCAAGAAATGTGAGCACTCATGTTTAACTGTGATGGCACTTACAACTCCCAGTGTAGTAAAAATATAGTTAGGGAAGCCTCACTATTGAGACTTTCAGGGCTGCTTTTGACAAGACACATGAAGTAGCATTGGCAGATTTTGAAGTGATACATTTGTAGAAAAACATACAGCTCTCCTTCATTCTCTGAGTGTCCTCCTCAGAGAGGGATACTCCACTGAACGTTTTGGCCTCTTTTCACACAGAAACACGTTCACATGAAATTTCAAGTGGGATTTTTCTTTTTGCCTTTTTATTGTCATATTTGGATCTCATCAAATTTATCACACTCATTTGATTCATTCCAGTTACTTTTTGAACCATAGTATTTGTGATACTGCTTCCATCTCAGTCTCACGGTATCTGAGTAAGAAAAGAAAAACAGCATCATAAAAAAATGTGTATTTGTTACAGAAATGGTACTTCACGTAACCACTGTATCTCTCTCTAGAGCACCCCTCCCCCTTAGGAACCCAGCATAGTGCACATACCAGGCAAGTACCCTGCTACTGAACTTCATACCCAGCCCTCATTTTACTTTGCTTCAAGACAAGGTCTCTCTGAGTCACCTGGCAGCTTTGAAATCTCTGCAACCCAGGCAGGGCTTGAACTTTTGATATTCCATCCGCAAACTCCTAAAAAACTTGGGCCCAGGTCTGTGCAGTCAAGACCAGCTCAACAATCCTATCATCCACTCACAGAAAGCAAATACAGAGTGTGTCCCCAAAGGTGCGATGATTGTTTTGTAAAGAAATGACATTGCTGGGACTCCATTCTCACTGGGTAATCTAGTGAATCTGAGTACTCTTTAAGGCGTTCATTGGACTTTGGAATTCAGCTCTATAGGAAGGACACAGGCTATGAGGTTACAAATGGGGTTCTGTCACCCATACTGTATGACTGCAAATTCTGGCAGCTTACACCATCGAAGAGATGCAGTATTACAGGCAGTTTCAGGACATTACTGTGAGAAGTCAGGGGTTTCAGGGAAATGATGCCTGAGGAGTGCAGTGCCTCAACTACACTCAACAGAAACAAATTCCAGTTGCCTTAGAAGCACATTTCCTGTAGCCTCACAGGTCCCAGCTGTGAAGAGATTTCTCACAATTTAGTGGCATCAAGAAGATTCACATTTTAATGCAACAGTAAAAACTGTCCTTCGGTGGAGCATTTTACCTTTCAGAATAGAAATTCTATACCCATTAAACATCAATTCCTCAGGTCCTCCATCTCAGTCCCTAATAACTATCCCTCCATATATTGTGTCTAAACTATGGCTACCTAAGGGACCTTAATGGGATTGGGGTCACTCAATATATGTCCTGTTGTGCCTGGCTTATTTTGCTCAGAATAATGTCTTCAAGGCTCACCCATTGTTGCTACATGGGTCACAGTTTGTTTTTGAGGCTGAGTAACCTTCCATTGAACGTTTGTACTACATTTTGTATGCATCCGTCTATGCAGGGGCATTGGGTTGTTCCTACTTTGGCTTCTGTTTTCCATGAATTAGCTATTAATCCTCTCAGTGATTCATTAGTGAAAGGCATTTTTAGCATTCACTCTTTTTCAGGATAAGAAAACGATCATAAAGAGTCTATGTAGATGTTTCTGCAGCCAGGAGGCCCTGGAACCAGGATATCCTCCCACGGTGTGCTGAGTAGATCATATTTTTGGCTTACTACCCTAAACATCTCAGCTCTCCTTTCAATGATTTAGGACTGTAAGTGAAACGTGGGCCAGTTAAAACCCTATTTACATTGCTGCAGAATATAGCATGAATGCTTTACTCCAGCGCTAATCTCAAATTAAAATCATCCAGCTAATCACCTAGATGTGTGTGTGTGTGTGTGTGTGTGTGTGTGTGTGTGTGTGTGTGTGTGTGTGTGTGCATGTGTGTGCCTGAGTGCTTGTGTGATGGAATAGCTAGTATATTGTCCACATTTGGTAAAAAGGGAAATTAAAGCATTTGGGGTTTATAAATTATTTGGTTAGAGATCACTAAAACACAGAATTCACACCCAAACTCATTGTCTCTCGCTCTGAAGCTTTTGCTATTAGCTATAGCACAGACATTATCTGTAAAGCCTGAGAAGTACAGCATTGAGGCTAGAACATGAGAGCCACTACATTCACAGCAGATTCCTTTTCTCTTGGGAAACTTTAGAATAATAAACCAATCCATTGGTCTGGAGAAAAATCTCTGCACTACTGAAATCATTTCATACAATTGTTCTAATTAATAAATCTGAAACCTGAGAATGGAATTACCACATAAAAGACATTGACTATGTATAGAATGGTCAGGCTTGGGAAGTTGTGCTGGTGTGCATATGCCAAACCTCCCAGAGCAGCAGTACCTCTAAGGGATAGAGGGTACATGGATCCCAGGCAAGGTGACTTCAGTGCTGTCTGCCTTCCTCTCACCTAGATAACGCTTTCTCTGAGACTTTATTTTATAGTTGGTCCATTAATGCAATCTTTTGTAGTCATTCATTGCCCAGTGGCCCTTAAACTCAAATATCCCTGTAGTTAAATGCATTATTAAAGGAAAAAGTATCCTGTGTAGGCTTTCAATGCAAGTGTGACCATCATAGAGAGACAGGCACCCAGTGTTAGGATGGGTGTTTAAATGATTGAAGGGGACATGATGTTAATCAATCATCCTCTCTTATTTCTTGCAGAGTTCCAGGACTGCGCGCTCAGAGGAGGACCGTGAAGGCCTCTGGGATGCCTGGGGCCCTTGGAGTGAGTGCTCCCGCACCTGTGGTGGGGGTGCCTCCTACTCTCTGAGACGCTGCCTGAGCAGCAAGTAAGTCCTGTCCACATTGGGCCCTTTGAGAGTCAGAGATAGCTAGCTTGAATCGGGGTTTTGTGGTAGGGTCATACAAAACATTGTGTTGCTTCTACAGTAAATGAATGGAAGACACAACAAATTAAGTTTTAGAGGTTTGGGGTTGCTATGACCATCTCTAACTAGGTGTCTAAATACTGTTTTGTGACAAACAACAGAGAAGCCATATCATTTCTCAGGAAAATTAAATTGCTTTTATGTTAGGTCTGGAAGGACGGTTTATTATTTGAAATGGTTCTGGACCCATTAGCTAGAATATGGAACTCTTTGTAGCATGTACAAGTTATGGTGATAATAACAGCACCAACATTCAATTGTTACCAGACAGTTTGCAAATGAATGAGATATTGGCTTTGTTTCTGTAGACTTTCTAATATCCTGATATTCTTTAAAGACATTGAGTTCAATAAATGATGCGTTTTAATATGAGGTTTGGAAAGATAGAGACTTCAATAGAAACTATGACATGACTAGTGAGAGAGATAACACAAAGATAGAGGTTGCTAACGGTTTTGAGGAAGAATGGAAAATGCCCGGGGCCTTAGAATGGAAAGTTTTTGCTAAGAGCAATAATAATTCAAATCTGCTTTCTGAGCTGTGTGGTCTGTGACTAGATTTGTCTCCAAACTATAAAATATAAAGTACCAGAGTCATATTTTTTAATGAAAGATTTTATTTGACAATGAAAAGTGTTAAAGGCAGCATGAAGAAGGAACATTTGGTCAAAGTCACTGTGCAATATAAAGTGTGAAACAGAAGAATATGTCTATACACTGATGCTTTTAGACATTTTTAAGTTTTCACTTAAAAAGTTTTCATACAAGTATATATTGTATGCTGAGCTCATTCCCTCCATAGCACCCTACTGTTCTTTTTGGCCCCTTTCCCTCTCTGACCTTAGAGAGTTTTATGTCTGCTCTCACATCATATATACATAGATAAGTTTATTTATCTGTATAAACCAGGGGGATCCCAAGTGAGAGAAAATAGATAGTATTTGTCTTTTGGAGACGAATAGGATTGAGCCCAGTTGCACAAATTTTCCTGCAAAAGACATAACTTTGTTTTTGACTGTAAAAAATGCATTATATGCGTTCTGTATCTGTTCCTCTGTTGGGCACTGAGGTTGGTTTCATGACTTAGTGGCGAGTGTAACAATAACCTTTGATGTACTTGTGTCTCTGTGATATGTTGACTTGAACTTTTTTGGATAAATACTCAAGAGTAGTGTAGCTTTATTTTCTCTTCTTGTCCTATTCCCATAGCTAAGAATTTATGTACTACATTTTGTAAGAGCAGACAAAGTAGCCATACCTATCTTGTTATTGAATTTAGTGAGAATGCTTGAGTTTTCCCCCAATTAAGTATAGTGTTGGATACAAGTCTATCATACAGTCTTCATCATGTTGAGGTAAGTTTCTCATAGTCTCCTCTTGTCTTCCTCATGAAGGGATGTTAGGCTATATGAGAAGCCCTTTCAGCATCTATTGAGATAATCATGTGATTTCTGCCTTTATACATATTTATGGGATATAATATATTGAGCTTATACATGTTGTGTCATTCCTGAATCTATGGATGAAGCCAACTTGATCAAGGTGAATAATCTTTTAAATATGGTCACAGATTCTCTTTGCAAATAGTTGATCAAGAACTTTTGCATCTGTGTTCATTAGGGAGTTTAGTCTGTAAGTTTCTTTTCTATGTATCTTGTTTGGCTTTAGTATCAGGATAATGCTGGTTTCATAAAACAAGAGTTTTATAACATTCCTTCCTTTTCTGTTCCATTGAGTAATTCCATAAGCATTGCTGTTATCTCTTGCTTTTTACTTTTTTATTTTTTATAAATAACAACCTTACTATAAGTTGCTAAGGTTCTATATTTGCAATACAAAAACTTTCCTGTGTCACTAGACTCTTTTCTATCTGTAATTTCCTAATTGTGCTTACAATTTTGACAATTATTGTTTTCATTATGTCAGTTGATTACTCTCTTAATTATCTTTAGTTCATTCTAGCTCTTCTTGTGTCTCCAAGGATATTGCAAATAGGTTTTAAATTACAACTTCTTTTCTTCAATACCTTCTCTTCCTCTTAGGTATCTTTCATTTACTATACTCACTAATGTTTTTGTTTTCTTCACTAGTGATCAAACCTGTGTCCCACATGCTAGTCAAATGCTCTACTAACTAGGGTACATCCCAACTCTCTAATGCCTATTGATCTCTGACAGCCCATTAATTAGGAAAACAGATGAACTAGAACATTACTGGACACTCAGTATATGGGTTGGCTTGTTGCCAAGTGGACTTTTGAGTAGAAATATCTTTGGGATGGGGGATACTGCCTAACTCTAGTGCCCAAAGAAGATTCTCCATTTGGAAGGAGTGGCTGACAGCAGCCCCAGGGAGTAAGCAAGAATGGGCTAGCTTCTGACCACAGGATATCATCACCTGTGTTCTCTGTTCACATCCCTTTGCAGAATACAGCAATGCATCTCTCTGGGCTTGGATGGTTTTAGTTTAGAGACATTTTTATCACTATTTTAATCCTACATCTTGCTATATATTTATTTAGACTTTTGCTCATCCTAGTTTAGTTTTAGTAGGTCATATGAATCTAGAAAATCATCCGTCTTGTTTAGGTTTTCAAATTTAAAGAAGTAGGAGATTTTGAGGTATGTCCTAAGGGTTTCATAAACATTGGTATATTTTGTGGTGACTTTCTTTTCATTTCTGACTATTAATTTAGATTCTTTCTCTCCTCTTGCTAGCTTGGCTAAGGATTTATTTATTTTGTTTGACTTTTCCACTCTCTGTTTTGTTGATTTATTGTGTTACTTTTATGGCTTCCATTTCAATAATTTCTACCCTAATTTATTTTTTGCATTACTGATTTGAGTTAGACTTGTTGCTATACTTTAACGTCCAAATGTGTATCATTACTGGGATGGCTATAATATTTTGAAATATATGTACAAATAGCTATAAACTTTCTTCTTAGCCCTTCTTATGGTATGTCTTTGATTCAGGAATTTGTTGATTACCATCTTGGTTTCTTCAGTGACTCATTCATCATTCCAAAGTGTGCTGTATAATATTCATGAGTTTATATATATTCTTCAGTTTCTGTTGTTGATATATAGTTTTATTCTGTTGTTATCAGATAGAATACAAGAACTTATTTCAATTTTCCTACATTTGGGAATACTTGCTTTGGTCCTATTATATGATCTATTTTAGAAAAAATTCTATGGGTTGTTGGAATGGATGTATATTCTCTAATATTTGGATTAAATGTTTTATAGATGTCCATTAGACCCATTTAATATATGATGTCAGTTAGCTCAGGTGTTTCTCTGTGTATATTTTGTCTGGATGATTTGTCTATTGGGAAAAGTAGGGTATTGAATTTGTCCACTACTATTACTGTCTTGGGGGGTTAAGCTATGACTTTTAATAGAACTGTATTTGGTGAAATTTCATGCATCCATGTTCAGTACATACATGTCTAAAATTGTAATATCCTCTTGGTCAGGACCTCTCTGACAAGGTATGGGGCTGAAGCCCATTTTTTCAGTTATCAGAACATCAGCTTTCTGTTTCTAGTTCCATTGATTTAGAGTTCCTTTTCTGTCTTTTCACCCTAAAGTTGCAAGTACCTTTGATGATGAGGTATGTTTCCAAGAGGCAGCAAGTAGATCCTGGTTTATTTATTATTTAATCTTCCAGTCAGTGTCTTTTGACTGGGGAATTGAGATGATTAATAGTCAGAGTTATTGAAAAGTTAATGTTAATTCCTGTCTAACTTTGATGTGATGTGTTTGTTTTATCTTATTATACTTTATTGTGTTGTTTTTTATTATTACATCTTAGAAGCCTGTTCTTTTCTCTCTTTTTTTCCTTTCTTTTTTTTTCAAGACAGGGTTTCTCTGTGTAGCTTTGGAGCCTGTCCTGGAACTAGCTCTTGTAGACCAGTCTGGTCTTGAACTCACAGAGATTCACCTGCCTCTGCCTCCCCAGTGCTTGGATTAAAGGCCTGCTCCACCCAACACCCAAGCTAAGTCTGTTCTTTTCTAGTGAGAAACAGAAAGGGAGTGGATCCAGAGTAGAGGGGAGGGAGAGAGGAACTGGGAGGAATAGAGGGAGAGGAAACCATAATCAGGATATATTATGTGAGAAAAGAATCTATTTTAAATAAAAAGAAAAATATATTTAAAAAGAAAGGCATCTAGAGTCAAAAAAGAAAGGATACATTTTAACAATATTTACCCATGACCATGGCATCCCTCTCTCATATTTAGGTTTTTATATTTCTCAGTAATATTTTAGCAGATGACATATATAATATGTTAATGTTTATTGTAGTAAGTGTTATTTTAGTTTTCATTCTCTGAGTTTTATTGAAACTTACATATATGGAAACATAAATATATGGAAACATTTATTTTATATCATAGCAAAAAATTGTACTGAAGCATTATTAGTGTTCATAAATTTTCACACATTCCTTAGGATTTCAATACACAACTCTTATCTTTGATTTGAAAATTATAGCACAAATTTCCTTTTCTCCTTTGCATCTTTCTTTTATCTTATTTCAACTACTGGACATTATGGTACAATGTCGGGGATAGTCTTTCTCATTTGGGGGCTTCTGAAAGAAAATGCTAATTATTTCATGTTGTAGTATGAAGTTACTGTGTTTTCTTAGATGACCTTTCTGTGATTGACAAATACACCTCTGATGTCTTTTCAAGGATAAATGTTAAATTCTCAAGAAAGAAAGAAGAGAAAGAGAAAGGAAGGGAGGAAAGTTCCACAGCTTTCAATATTCATTCTTTTTTCTGTATAGTGTTTTAGCTGTTCTTTATAGTGTTTTAGACACATGATGGGGGTGTCTTTTCTGATGTTCTCTCTTTGGTGTTTTAAACCAAATGATCCTGAACCTAAATGATC